CCCTTGTTCACTTGGAATCCAATCCCAAATTCAATGTAAAGCCGATGATTGTTACTTTGTTGGTTATGCTGCTCGAACTGCTTACATGGTATACAATAAGAAGACAAAACATATTGTAGAATCTTTCGATATTCGTTGGCTCGAAGAAAATGAGACAGATGCAAGAGTGGGTCCGGATTGGTTATTTAACTGCACATCTCTTTTCAAATCATTCAATGTGTTCTCAAATAATCAAAAAGGATCTACATCAAATTCGAAGATCATATTTGAAGATGAAGAAGATGAAGTTGTCTACCGACCACCACTGATTTCTTATGTTCCTCCAATGGTTCCCTCAGTTCACAATGAGTGTTCTGAGTCTTCTCCTCAACAACCTTCTCCTGATGTTGTTGCTACTCCTCTAACTCCAGTGGAAGGAGAGTTCATGAACCACGAGACTTCCGTTGTAACTTCAAATCTAATGGAACTTCTCTTTCCAGAAAGTATTGCTGACGAGTTTGTAGCAGATCCTCTTAACGAACTTTGTTTATCTTCTGTGAATTACACAACAAATGATGGAATGGTTAACTTTCATACTCTTCCGGTCTCTATCAATGATATCAGCTACGAGATTCCTGCACGCATTTAGCACGATCATCCTATAGAGAATGTCATTGGCCAGCTGGGCGTCGGTGTTCGAACTAGAAGTCAGAGTGGAGATGTTAATACATGTCTCTATTCTTGCTTTATTTCTCAGATTGATCCCAAAAATGTTGAAATGGCTCTGAATGAGCCCAACTGGGTTGAAGCCATGCATGATGAACTTAATCAATTTGAGAAGCTCGGGGTATGGACGTTGGTGGAGCTGCCAAAAGGAAAGAAATCTCTTGACACCCGATGGGTCTTTCGAAATTAACAAGATGATTCCGGTGTAATTGTGCACAACAAGGCGATATTAGTGGTTCGAGGGTTTTGGCAAGTTGAGGGTCTTGATTATACGGAAGTTTATGCTCCGATTGCTTGTTTGGAGGCTATTCGTATCTTCCTTGCTTATGCTTCCTATATGAACTTCACAAAAAGGTCAAGGAGGAGATCTACGTTGACCAACCACCTGGTTTTGTTAACTCCAAACTTCCCAACCATGTTTACAAGTTAGACAAAGATTTGTATGGACTGCATCAAGCTCCTAGAGATTGGTATGCTACCCTGACTCAACATTTGCTCAACCACGGCTATTCTCGAGGCACCATTGATCAAACCTTATTCCTCAAACATGTCGGTCCAGATCGAATTCTTGTTCAAATTTATGTAGACGACATTATTTTTGGATCAACATGCCAACAGCTTTGCAAAGCGTTTGAAGTAGTGATGAAGAAGCAGTTTGAGATGAGTTCGCTTGGGGAAATGACCATGTTTCTGGGGCTTTAGGTCCAACAATATTCAACCGGAATCCTTATTCACCAAGCAAAGTATGTGGATGATGTATTGGAGAAGTTCGGGTTCCGAGACGTGAAACCTTCTCTTACACCCATGACGGAAAGACCTCTTCTGACCCATGATCTTGAGAGTGAATCTGTAGATCAGACACATTAATGATCAATGATCGGATCACTCATGTATCTAACTGCCAGTCGACCAGACATAATGTTTGCGGTCTGTCAATGTGCTCGCTACCGGGCTAACCCTAAACTTTCTCATTTACTTGCTGTTAAACGGATTTATCGGTATCTCAAAGGGTGCCCAAAACTGGGTCTTTGGTATCTGAAAAATCCAGAATTTGATCTTTATGCTTTTGCAGACAACAACTATGGTGGGTGTGAGCTTGATAGAAAATCTACTTCAGGCGGATGCCAATTTCTGAGCGACAGATTGGTTTCATGGCAGTGTAAGAAGCAGCATACCGTTTCCACCTCAACAGCAGAAACGGAGTATATCGCTGCATCTGCTTGTTGTTCACAAGTCATCTGGATCCAACATCAGCTGTTGGACTACGGTTTGAATTTTCAAGAAACCCCTCTTTTCTGTGATAATGAGGCTGTGATCCAAATTACCAAAAACCCGGTCCAACACTCAAAAACCAAGCACATCGACATCAAGATTCATTTTATCAGAGAATGTTATGAGCGTTCGCTCATTCAGCTAGAAGAGGTCTGCTCTAATAATAATGTAGCAGATCTGTTCACCAAGCCGTTTAACAAAGCTCGATTCGATGTGCTGGTTAATTTTCTAAAAATGATTCGTTTTAAGGATTATTTTTTTAAATGTCTATCTTAGGATAAATTTGCGTATTTTTTATTATTTTTTTTATGCAAAAATTTAGGGGGAGAAAATTAGAAAATTCAAAAACATAAAAAATTAGAAAATCTAAAAACATAAAAATTAGAAAATCCAAAAACATTAAAAAATCAGAAAAACAAAATTTTATTATGCTGATTATAGAATGTGCTTGTGGGAGATGTTTTGGGAAGTGATATTATTAAGTGATAACAGGCAATCTAAGTCTGCATAACGTACCCAAAGTTGAAGGGTCTATGCTCTGGTTTGATGCGTCGGTAGGCACGAAGAATTTAACGGACTTGACTAGGTGCAGATGAACTTAAGGGATCTAGAGACTTGATAAATCTTGACCTAGATAGTTCCGTTTAGCCTGACAATACGACGCTTAGATAGGTTGAGCAGGGAGATATATATGGGAATCTACTCGTCACATTAAATGAACCCGTATCTGGAACCGTGGTTTAACTTTTCCTCCATGTGCGGATTTTGTCCTTAATTCCGGTATTGATGGGGCAACTGGTAAATTCCGATAAATTAGGTATGTAGAAAATCATTTTCTTTCTTTCTGTCTATTAGTCATATGTTACCTCCTCTACGTGATTGGAAGAGATCCGACCTCGACTGTAACATATGCAACTCTATTTCTCTGCATATTATACATACACAGACACACACACACACACACACACACACACACACATATATATATATATATATATATATATATATGTGTGTGTGTGTGTGTGTGTGAAATTCCTCTCATCTGTTAGCCATATGATGTCTCCTTTGCGTGACTAACAATCCGACCTGGTACACAGCATATGCACTATAAGTGATAATACTCTGTATCTATCTTCTCCCTTAATGATGGTCTGCTAATCCGATGTAAGGAGTATTCTGGAAGTCCTTGATTACCGTGGAATATTTGGAAGCGGGAAACATGTTCCAGTACAATTAAAAATTGAACACTCAAAGATTGTTTATAGATCTCGCTGCTCAATTTAGGTGGACAACAATATCCCTGGTCGTCATCAGCTGAATGGTCCTTAAGATATAATATTTAGAAACTTAGGATCAAATATAATATCTAGGAACTTAGGATCATATTGTCGTGTCACTTAAAGTATGTCCTATTTTTTCACAATTCTTCGTGTTTAAGTGGACAATAATACCGGCGATCGACCAGACAAAGATGTGAAGATGGAAGGTACCGACAAGCGGACAAAAGTTGTCTAAAAACTTTGATCCCTAATTGCAATAGATTAAAACAATCTATATAGGACTAAATTGATTTTTTATTCCTAGTCGTTAATAGTATTTCCAATTTCATTTTATTCTATTCTATTTTATTTTTATTTTTAATTTTTATTTTTACTTTTTAATAATAAGTTTTCTTTTGTTTTAGTTATTATTTTATTTTTTAGCAATTTTGAATTTAATCTCTTATTAATCCTCAAAATAATTCATTTTTGAGAAAATGGTGAGTGGAAGGGGCATCGGTTTTTAATGTTAAAAGGTAAGGGGGAGGAAATGTAATTTTTGTGTATATAAATAGTGGGTGTGCGGTGAGTTTTTCACTATCACTGTTTCTTGCCTCAACCCCACACACACTTGTTTCTCTCTCAAAATCATATATATTCCATGATTTTTCGTGAAATCAAAGCTCTTACTCGGTAATTCTTATGAACACGGCTTATTTTTCAGATTATTTTCATAAAAATTTCCATCGTTTGTTGTTGAAATCATAATCACAATGTTTGTCTTCGAGTGTGACCGCACACGGGCGTGTGCGGCTGACCGTGTGCGGCTATATGATTTTATATGCCATTTGGCATGTGCGGTTGCAGCTGCACACTTGCACGTGTGCGGTTGTGTAATTCCGTGTGCGGCTGCATCATTTTCAATAGTTTTGCCCTAATAATTTTTTGTGTTGACTTTCAGATTAAGATGGGAGACATGGAATTCACTGAAGTCCACAACTCCGAAGTTTTTCTCGAAGACCCTCCTGCAGCTCACAATGACTTGAAATTCATTGTGGATGGTTTGAAGAAATCCTGCTTGGTTCATGCCCTAACTTCAAGTCCTGCTATCTACCAGAGTTTGATTAAGGATTTTGGGAGGAATGCTGTTGTAAAGAAGAATGATCAGGGTGAAAAGTTTGTTGAAGCAACAATCGAAGACAAGAAAATTCAAGTAACAGAGAGCTCATTAGAGAATCCCTCCAAATTGAGGACATACCTGAGTACCCCATGGAGATTAATGTTCATCAAACTCAGGAAGTCTTAGAGCATATGGGATATGAGGGAACTTTTCCTCCTACAATTAAGAAGCTGCTTCCTCCATGCTGGAAGTATTTGGCTCATGTGTTCATGAGCTGCATTTCCAGCAGGAGATCAGGAGCAAAAAAGATCTCTCTGGCCAACACTGGCGCCATTGCAGCATTGGCTGCAGGTTTTGAGTTCAATTTCTTAAAATTTATAATGAATGAAATGATACTAAACCTTGAAGGGAGAAAAAGGGACAAATTCTGGATATATCCAAGATTGTTACAAATCATCCTTAATGTGACTCACCCCGAGCTGCAGAGAGGAAATGATACTTTGGTTTTCAAATCCATTGGTCCAAGTGCTTTTGGACTAATGAAACAAAAGAGAGGCGGGAAGTTTGTATTTTAAGGAAATTTTCCATTAATAACATTTGGAATTTTTAAAGAGAATGATAAAGAAGAATCAGAAAAACAATCCATGTTGATGGAAAATGAAGATATTTTTCACTCTCCCTCCGAGCTAGAAGTGGAGAAGATTCATGACTCTCCCACAAATTGTGTAGCTGATGAGCATGATCTTCAGAAAGCAAATGAACCAAAATCTTCTCGAGAGGATGATGACGATGATCTTTATGATGATGTGGAGTTTTTAAAAGAAATTGACTTTACGGGAATCAATGATGACATTCCAACAAACATAGAGTTTGATCTTGGTGATGAAGATTTTGATCCTTTTCTTGATATTCCCAACAGCGGTGTAAATAAAGTCAATGAACTTGCTTCTTTAGCAACCAAGACTAGAGATGAAGGAAATGTTCTCAAGATTCTACTCTCTACTTCAAAGCCCTTGGAGGTCGCACCAAGCCAAGGAGATGTGACATCAGAGATTCCTCCCTCTGTGTCACTTGTCTCAACTTCTGCTCCAGTCATTTCTGATTCAACTAAACCTCATACATCTCAGACTTTCATGAAAACAAGCCAACCTCTTGCAAGTCTGGAGGTACCCGCTGTAAGATGTGCACCTCAAGTTCTTTCAACAATCACTACTACCTCTGCTCACTCTACTCCAAAGCAAACAGATGAAGGTCTGAGTAACATGTTTGAGACTGGTGGATCCTCATCCATTCCATAATATTCTCCAACTCGACCTTCACTAAATGAAGCTTCTATTATATTAGTAAAACATCTGACTCAATCTAGTCCAACTTCCTCACGAGGGAAAAAAATATCACTTAAGGAGGGTCGGACAGGTGATGACAAATCTTCTTCGCCTGATCTTCGAGAGGAGATTGGGATTCTCCGTCAACAGCTCATCGAAAAGTCAATTAAAATGGATCAGCTTTCTGCATACATCTTTGAGCTCAGGGCGAAAAATGAAGAAAAGACCAAACAAATTAATGATCTACAAATGAGTCTTGGATCTGTACTAGCTAATTATTTCAATCTCAAGAACGTTTTGTACGATGCCTTTGGTGAAAAAGTCAAATCCCTTTTCCAACAGCCTCATGGAATAGCTGATCCTCCCACAGTTCAATCACCTCCTGCAACTAATGATCTCCCTGTCAGCCCACCTGCTCCAAGAACAACTACAATTGTCAACAGGTTTGAAAAAGAACCAGAATGAAGCAGAGCCAGAATCACAATCAAACAGGGCAAAAGAATCGTAACTACAAATCAAAGCGAAGGCCTTTTATTCATGAAAAATTCTAATGAAAATCGCAAGGCAAGAGACCCTGTTTTGATGGTAACGGATTTGAAGAAAATAAAGTTTGGTGATGAGTATGGTGACAGGATAGGTATCCGAATGTGGGCCTTTGATCTAGAAATGAACTTGTGGGTTGTAAAGCGAAACTCAGGAGCATCTGAATGTTACAAAAGTACCCACGATTTCAACTCTTGGACCAAAACTGATCTAGTCGAATTATCCTGGGGCCCCATTCCATAATCCCTCCGAAAAACCCAGTGCTTCAAATTTCAAAAGGTTTCTCGACAGACAGGTCAGAGAAAACTTTCCATCAATGAAGACTGCAAGAGCTCTATATAGAAAAGACAAAGATGTTCTTGATCCAGAATCAGGCGAACCCATGAAGATCATACTCTGGTCTGCAACTAAGAAACAAAAGGAAATTTCTATTCCTCAACATTTTCATGAGGGATATCTGGATAATATGGAATTTTGGGCCTATGATGACGAAACTGCAATTGCAGCTATCAAATTCAAGGATCGAGAACACGTTCTGAGATTGATTAGTGCCAAAGATCTTCTTCGTTTCAGAGAAAGGGATATACGGACTCTGGCTCATCATCAAATCATTTGCAGAAAAGATTTCATGGAAGCTGCTGCTAAAGAATTCACTGCATTGGTGGCTACGATCATCAATGGAAGAATGTGGATGGGCTCGATGGGGAGATCGGATCTAAGGCTGTTTGAGAAGCCTGCAGAAAAGCCAAACAAATGAAGTTCAAGACTATGCTAGTCTCAAACCAAGGGGGAGATTGAAAGTCATTAATTTTGTGGTTTGAGCTAGTCATAATTTTTGTATAGATCTATTCAGGATGTAAGAGTGTGTATTGCAGTATTGTTTGTATTGGGCTTGTAATGTGTGCAGCCGCACACGTGTGTACGACTTCACACTCTTATGATGGTAGGAGGGGTACTATTTATAGTAACTGAGTTGTGTCAGATGGTACTTACTTTTTCAGTCATAACTCTGCAATGGTTGTACTTTCTCAAGATGTACTTGACATTTACTCGTAATAGATGTATGCATGCTTGATTTTACTTCTTCTTCTTCTTCTACATTTCACCTTAATTGCAATTAACTTCATTGATTACTGAATTAGACCCTTAGTTTTGGGACTAACAAATTGGCTGAAAGAGAAAGAGAGAGAGAGAGAAAGAGAGAGAGAGAGAGAGCTTTTATGTCCATACATGTATACATGATATATAATTAATGTTTAAACGACCTTCGGATGGATAACTGATACCCACCAGACCACATCCCAACGAGGAAAAGGAAATAAGGCGAACTAGCCTTCCTAAGTCCTTTAAACATTATTTATATAACTATACCAACATATGCATGCATTTAACGAAATAAAAGCATAGAAGAAAACTTTGGTAAAACGTTCGGAAAACCTTTACACTTAAGAAATTTATGACTTGATGTCATTTTGTAAAACAAGTTTTGAAAACTTTTGGAAGTCCTTTGAAAAACCTTTCATAAACAGTTTTGAAAATGATTTTTATAAAATAGTTTAAGTGAAGAAAACCTTTGGAAATCCTTTTAGTAAGAAGTTACGACTAGATGTCCCTTTAGTAAACGAACTTTGGAAAACTTTGGATAACCTTTAATGATCTAAAAAGGGATATTCATACTTTAACGAGATTCGAAAACATGATTTGGAAATCTTAATCTGGATAAAACAGTTTAACGTGCAAAAGTCTAATTTGCTATATAGTTATTAATCACCTGTGATTTATCTAATAACTGTACAGATCAACTTGTATTCCCCCCTATAAAATTAGTTAAAATAAATTTAAAAAGGTTAATTTAGGGGTATGAACTCACCTGTAACGAGTGGATCGGATGGAAGTGCCGGTTGAGTGCTCGTTGTCAAGTAAAGATTTTGAACACACTTAATGACCTAGTAACATATGAAGACATATGTTTACATATAATTAGAGATTATTACACTAATTAAACACGTATAAGCATCCTAATGTGCGGAAAAACACTTTGGTCAAGTGCTAGGAGGCTATTGGGTTGCAATAAGGGAGTGTATGGCCTAGTTAGGGAGTTTACTCTTCAAGAGTAAACTCTTAGAAAGGATTTCGGCCCAATGACCATATCCCCATGAGTTTACGGCTGTAAACTCATGGGTGGTGTGTTCTTGGATGTTTAAAGGTCTTATATCACTTGTGGAATTAGGCTAGGTTCAAATCTAGGGCATAGGAAGGGGTTAAGTCCTCAAATGGACCATTTATGGGAGTTTATGTAACGCCCGTGTTTCTGGGCTTGCCATTTTTAGCAATGTAATAGTCTAGGTTAACCTTTGTAACCCCAATTTGAAATAAAAAGAACGTATTATTTGAGTATTATGTGTTTCGTGCTTAATTGCTTAATTATGTGATATGATTAATTAAGAATAAAATGAGCATCAAAATTTAAGTGTAAAATAAACTTGATATCTTCGAATAATGTTGTAGTAGTTGAAACAAGGTTTCCAAATATATATAGAACGCCCAAATTTGACTTCGTATGAGGAAGTTATGATTTTTCGAAGTTTCGACTTAGCAGTATGCAGCCTGAATACTCGATTTGAGATCGAGCGGTTTTTAGCCGACATAAAGAAATCATATTTCTTTATGAAATGTTTTGATAAATATCTATTTTATCATGTTTTGTTTTTGGGAACAAATTCCGCATCTCTTTTAAAATTAAAAGGATTTACTCTGAAATTATTTTAAAAAGCATAAATGAAATCGGTCTTTTTTGGCCGTGATTTTGGGGATGTCAGAGTTGGTATCAGAGCATTAGTTAAAGCGAACTAGAAATTTGTAGGATTTCTAAACTTAAACTTAGAATGCTAAGTGGATATTGCGAGGTGTGTGTCTGTTAAATTTTAGACACAAGCACTTGTTTATTTTAGGAATGTTGCCTAAAATGCTTTTATGTGCTAAGTTTTATGTGTTGCCATATATGATATTATTTGTTCGGATCTACGGTTTGTTGCCAACCGGATCTGAAGGTTTATTTGTTTTGGATTCTAAGCGTATGTCTACGATATTAGAACTAGCATGTAATCGTTTCGGAGTGATAATGATGATTTGAATATCTATCGTGAATGAAGATCTAAATTTCACCTTATTCGGTATATAGATAAAAAATGGTGAGAACAAGAAGCGTAATTGGAAATGCTGATGAAAACAGGAATCAACCGCCTGTAATTCAACAAGTACCTATTGTAGCTGCTGCACCTGAGCCGATAACAATGGCTGGTGTACAAACGATGATTCAAACGATGTTGGATCGCCAGATGGAAGAAACAAGATGCCTGCTTAGGCAGAATCGTGAAGAATCGTTAATTCATGTAGAAGAGCCAGAGGAGACTGGAGGGCAGTCTGAAGGAGAAAACTTTAGTGGGATCATTGGTCAAGACAACCCACCAATGGTTAGACGCAATAACCAGTATGGAGGAATGATGGGCGTGGGTGTAAGTACAAGGATTTCATGTCATCCAACCCACCATGTCTATTCGGAAGCCCGACGCCGGTGCAAGTTATGGACTGGATCTCCGAAATGGAGACTATGTTTGAAAGTTGCGAATGCAGCAACAGGCAGAAGACCGCTCTGGCGATCCCTCTGCTAAAATCTGGTGTATTGAGTTGGTGGAAGCTATTGGCCGACTCTATGCCCAAGGGAGAAGCAAGTAAAATGTCTTGGGAAGACTTTGTGGAACAATTAAAACTGCAATACTGCTCTGAGCAGGACCTTTTGGAAATCAGTAACGAGTTTCAGAATTTGAAGAAAGGGAAATTGAGCATTACTGAATATGCTGCAAGATTCATAGAAAAGATAAAGTTTATCCCATATTTGGTACCTACAGAACTCTCTAAGGTCAACAAGTTTGCCCTTGGACTACCAGCGGACTATGGTCCAATGGTTAAGCAAGCAACCACATTGAAAGCTACCATCTGGGCTGCTAGAAATTTTGAGACCCAGATCAGGGAAAAAGGTCTGGAAAGGTCAGAGGTTGGTGAGAAAAGGAAAATCGATGGATTTTCAGGGTCCAGCAAGAAAAGTAAATTCTTCAAGTCTAGTTCGAGAGGAAGTGGAGGAAAGGTAGAGGCGAAATGGTGCGACAAGTGCAAGAAAAAGCATCATGGGAAGTGTGGCGGGGAAACCACGTGCTTCAAATCTGGAAAGTCAGGGCATTATGCCAACAACTGCACCCTCACCAAGAATGTTTGTTATGGTTGCGGAGAGGAGGGGCACATCTCAAGGGATTGTCCGAAAAAGAAGGAAGCAACAAGACCCAACATTCCGCCAAAGCCAAAGGCGAGAGCATTCCAGATGACACTGGAAGCTACTAAAGATGAAGTTGATGTCGCTTCAGGTACCTTTCTCGTTAACAAATTGCCCACCCAAATTTTATTTGATTCTGGAGCCAACTAGCAATGTAATAGTCTAGGTTAACCTTTGTAACCCCAATTTGAAATAATAAGAACGTATTATTTGAGTATTATGTGTTTCGTGCTTAACTGCTTAATTATGTGATATGATTAATTAAGAATAAAATGAGCGTCAAAATTTAAGTGTAAAATAAACTTGATATCTTTGAATAATGTTGTAGTAGTTGACACAAGGTTTCCGAATATATATAGAACGCCCAAATCTGACTTCGTTTGAGGAAGTTATGATTTTTCGAAGTTTCGACTTAGCAGTATACAACCCGAATACTCGATTTGAGATCGAGCGGTTTTTAGCCGAAACAATCTAAACGAGAATCGAAGATCTCGTTATTAGTAGCGAAACGATGAAAAGTTAGGCGAGAACGGACGTCGGACAAAGAAGTTATGAATTTATAATGAAGTTTTCCTGTCCCAGCCTACTAAAAATA